ATAAAGTTTCCCATTATCTTGCATGATACTATTCTAAACAAATAAATCATAGGGCAAGAGGTTAACACTAGACCTACTGTACCCGTTAACTGATTTTGTTTCCTTATTTTGCAATTATTAATATTATTAAAGTATTCAATATCCAAAATGATTTTGAAAATAAACAGTTTCGCTTAAATACTATAACGAATATCAGAAGGAATCGAAGAAAATGCATTGTTACAATCTTTATAAGGGTTGCATATCAATTTCAATAAATGCTCGGTAGTTCTAGTGTTAGAGATATAAAAAAGAAGCGTCTAATGATTATAAAAGTCACGGTCCCTGCTCTTCGCTGCTGGTTCTCTCTTCCCGTCGATTATTTTGCCCGTCGAAGAGGCAAGAAGGCGTCCAGTCAAGTGTAACCCCGGGGCTAACGAGGACGCGAGACGCGCGCCTTTAGAGTATCCCGTCGCGGCGTCGGTCAGGTACAACTTTGGCACCCCCCGGTTAAGACTCGGCGAATGGCGGACGTCGAAAAGGGAGGACATCCACTTAGCACGCCGCTTAGACGTGAAAACATCTGTATTGTCGACGCATTAGCGCCAGGGGATTCGTTCACGATGATTACCGCGGAAATTGTGATCCTTCACGTGGAAGCGCACCCGCCGCGGGAACTTTTTAAACCGAAAATGGCGGTCAAGAGATCCGCACCGATCTCTTCTGTGCAGCAAATAAGAAACGCGGCCTGGAGCTCGGTCGTTGTAGAAAAACTGCTGGGATTCCAGCGATCTTCGTATTTGACTGTGTTCCCCGGAATGGATTCTGTTTACAATGATGAACGCTTGTAGCGTTTGTATTGTAGCCCGAGGTATTCTCAACGGAGAAAATTATATGGAGATGAAAAGAATCAGCGTGAAGGAATTGATTTCTGGGGTTAGTGAATGGCGCAGATTACAGAGTTTGGAAACTCGAGTATTCGAATACGTTTAAAAGTTGAATGAATGAATGAATGAAAGCGTGAACGCTTGAAGTTTAGGGGGTATAAAGGTCTCAACGGTTAACAATTAAATTTCAAATCTTGGAAATTACGAAACTTGTGCTGCGAAATTCAAATGTTAATAGAAGTGATTGGTTGTTTCAGCACTAGATTCCCACAAAATCCCACCCCAGTCAAAAGAATCGATAATCCCGCGGGATGGATAATCCCGACTCGCACAGCCAGCCAGCGATGTTGGTCTGCACCAAATTCGTGCATCTTGCTAATCGTTACCCTCCGACTACCCTTACTGTGCTTCGACGAACTGTATTTTTATGTTTTCGAAACCAGCTGCACATGAGAAACCAATCTATATTCTGCAATCTCTTACACGCCAAGACAAAGATTAGAACTGGTGCCTTTGCTTACGTCATCCAACAAAAGCTTCTTTACCCCACAAATGATGCTCATTACACGCATAATCCCATTCACACCGGTACACAACGAGATTCAATGGAACCCGTCCAACTCCGACCAATCCGATTCAAAAGCTCTGGCGAACATGAAAATTCGTCTAAAACGCTCCAAAGAACGTTACACCATTAGCCAACCCCGTCCAACCCAGCTTCTGACGATCTCTAGTCCACCCGAACCCAGTCTAATTCCCATGCAGTCCACTTTCATCGGCACAATGAGACATTAAATTCATTCGAACCACTTTTCTCACCTCCGTCTAAGGATCATGCGTCCGTTCCCGAGATTCTCGCACGTCAATGTCAAAGTCGCTTAAACTGGTACAAGGCCTAACATCGCTTCTAAGCAAATTCGCTGCGATTAGCATACGAATGTCGCGCTTCTAGTCCAGTGTCTATTCGGCGATAATGAAATTCACGAGTTCCGCGGACAAAGGGCGGGAACCTGGATTTTCGGTGTAATGTCGTTTAGAGGATGGCGAAGGATCACGGGGCCGCGCGCCGATTGGCCATTCCTCGTGATCCTTTTTTCGAGGATCCAACCGATCTGCTTTGAACCGGTGGGCACACACACGCACGCACGCACGCACGCACGCACGACAAGGATATGGAATTCGGTTCGCCGGATCGGGTCACGATTAACGTACGGATTAGGATTAAGGTTGGCACAGATTTCGATTCGAGGGTCGAAGCGTGCGTGCACGGGTCTGGTCCGGTTCGTGCAGCTTCAGGGGGCGGGGAGGCAGGATCACAATGACGGGGTACGTGCGCTGCCTATAGTGAAAGCTTTTTCACGCTCGGTTCTCCGCGTATCGCATCACGATCCTCCCCACCCGGGCCCCCTGTCCTGACAACAATGAAGACGACAGTCAATGCACATTACAACGGTTTTATGTTATTAATACGGACGCGTTGGGCGGGATTTGAATAATTGAACAGATCTGCCGGATCAAACGTACGGGGGACGACGGATAAAACCCCGGCGTTGCTAACATTCGGGCTTGAGGTACCGAGAGAGGTTTGCCACTGGCGTCTCACGGTGAGTGTTTATGCACGGTGTCTAATGCGAGAGTTTAGGATTTCTATGCGAAAATGAACTTCTTTGAATTGGCCGATGAAGGGATAATCGAAAAGGGGTTGGTGAGTTTCTAGCGAATTAGTAGTTTAGAAGTATGTTATGGTAGTTGAGAGGATTGGTTCGGGATTGTCATTGTAAAATGTTTGGAGAAATACTTGAGCGTTTATTACTTCCAATCATCGAGCGAAGTGAGGTTCGTTAATGTTAATTTACTGTTATACGATTTCATGTTTTGTTGGAGAATTATCAGGGATACAGTAATTCTAGCCGGTCTAATCAGAAACCAGAATCCTCCGGAACGAGGGATTAAACTTAAACCGCGAATAACAGAGGAAGCGAACGTGGGAAATAAAAATAGCCGCCATCGAATAGCCGGTAATATTCAGTCGATAATCCAACCACGTTCGAATTTCAAATACCTCGATATCGGTGTTGTAATGCGTCTATCATCGCAATCAATGAAGCGACTAGTGCCTTCGCGATTAGCCGAATTACGCCGGTTCAGCTCTACTTTGATAACACACCGTTATGAATATTCAGAACGTGCCGCAGCCGTATGTAGCAGAATTTTGCGCCCGATTCCGTGGTATCACATTAAACCACGCATCCGCGCGTTTCTCCGATTCCCTGCGAATAATAGAATTCTAGTCCGATGATTCGACCGCTTTCGCGATTACCACCGGGAAATACAACCGGCGAGCACCGACTAAAATCAGAAACCAAAGGAAAACTAGCAAACTGAATAAAACATACTTCTGCTGCTTCGAGACTTCTTGGAAGTATATTCTACATATGTAAACATTGGAAAGAGTTCATATTAACATACTTCCCGCCGACATTGTTTTCGAATTACAGCGAATTTCTGCTTACCTTCACAAGTTACTTACCCTCTCAAGATCAGCACGTAGAAGACTAAAAAAATGTAAGTATAAGCTTCTACAATAGATACACAAAATCGACTAATAAACAGACAAACGGAATTTCTTCATTGTTTTCGCGTGTAGAATCCATTTCCAAGAGCACTATCAATAGCACGCTACACGCAGCGTATTCGAAACAAACCCTCCGCAATTCTACAAACTAATTAAATGAGAATCCTTACGTCCGATCCGCGCATCGTCGAGCGAGCCCGCGGGAGCGCAATAAATCGCGACATCGGGGAAAAATATCTTATCCCGCGTACCGGACGGATCGATGGCCGGACTTTCTTTCGCGAATTGAACATCGGGGGACGGCGGAATGGGAGGCTAACAGGAAAAAAGCTGGGAACGTCGGCACGATAATCCCCGACGGGTCTGCTCCGCGTGCGAGGGAAAACGTGAAATTATTTTCAGAAACAATATACCGGGGCCCGGTTCGATCGCGCCGCTCCAAAACCAAACACTTCCGGGAGCATGATTAATTTGCGAATACGATTCGCTAGGCAAACTCGGAAAGCTCTGTAATACGCGAGACACGTCGTGATTATCCGCTGTAAATACGTTTCCTCCCACCGTTTCCGGCCCGGATGCGTCTCCCTCGGCTCATCCAACCCCTCGCCCCCGGCGCCGTTCCTCCGTCAGGGGTTGAAAGGGCATTCCACGCTCCGTCCTCCTCCCACCACCGGTTTTTTTCCCACCCTGTCTGTCATCAGGAGATTGCACCTACGCCAGCATCCTCCCGGAAACCATCGAGTCGAGTCGCTCCCTCTTGATCCGTGAGCCACCCCTGGTCCCCCACCGCTGCCAGGCTACCCTCGTCTCGCCTCACCTCGCCAGGCAACGCGTAGGGGATATGCCGGTAGGTGGTGGGGAAATGGACGTGGCCAGGCCGGGCCACGCCTCGCCCTCCCCCCGCGGCACGAACTCCGGCGAAACTTCACTTGGATATATTTCGAGGGTGTCTCTGTCCCTCTGTCACTGACACGGGGGTGGCTACCGCTGTAGCCGTGGACGCCGGCGAATAATCTCAGCGCACCCCCGAGAGAGAGAGGTCAACGCGTACACACGGAGGCCGGGGTACAGACGTCGCGGATACCGTTTATGTCCCGTCGTCGTGTCACTGCGTGCTCGGATCTCTACGTGCGAGACCGTCCGGTCGTGGCTGAGGAAGGAAAAGAGGAGGAAGGACTTGGACGGGACTTGTTACGATCCTCTTCCGTTGACACCTCCGACCGACCTTGTTGTTCGCACTTTTCTTCAATGAGAATCCAGTGACACACGACTTCCCTGCGAGAAGTAGCGTCTAGCTGCGGAGGACTCGTTTGGAAGATATTCTTTAGCTAGGAGGGAACCATTAGTGCGCTGTGTTTGTGACCGGGGAACGAACGGTTGACGAAGAGTTCGTAAACTGTTCAGGATTCAGAGTCTTGTGATTTGACATGTGACGCTTGGTTAGGAATTGATGTGATAGAGTTTGATATTTGGCGACAGGAGATTGAGAAGCTAGCGACGGAACTCGTTAGACAGCGCTGGTGACGCTGGAGAATGTCTTTCCGTTGGTTGTAGTTTAGAGGAAGTTTGAAGTTCGAAGAGGTTTCGTTGGAAGAAGTGTCGAGATAGAGAGGACAGTTTGAGATTGAACATCGTCTGCCATCGTAACATGGTAGAGAGCACCTATGCGAGTGACTCGCCCAGATCGCGTTCCCCGATGACGGAACCGTCCAGTCCTCTGCAAGATGGTCCCGGCATATCTGGCTACGGGCATCGTTACTTGTACAACTACTCGCCGGAAAGTTTGCAGCAGAAGCTGAAGAGCAACGATGAACAAAGCAGAATCGGCGGGAGGCGGCACGACGTCGACTGCGAGAAGACTGTCTCCAGGAGTTCGTTGACCTCCGAGGATCTGCGATTCAGGCAGCGCGAGATTTCCAGACCTAGCTCTTCGGCGACCATGTCCTCACCCACGTCAGCTTTCACTATCGAGAATATTCTGGCACCTAGACCTATCGGGAACATGACACCGGGGAATACCGCGGGCCTGGGATCCATAATACAGAATCCAGAAGCTATGGGATCGAGAACGACGGCCGCCATTCATCCTCTTCAACAGCAGATCCATCACTTGGCCTTCACGTCTGATCTGTTCGGTAAGTTTCCGAAACTAGCAGGGTGACCAATTTGTTTTTGAATGGGAAATTATGGGAGTGAGTTCATGAGAAATTTTTGCTGTAGTTTATCAATACACTCTTGATGAAGTTCCTCTTTTAAGAAGGATTTGAGAGTGATCGTAGGGGATGGAGCTTTTACGGTTTATCCCCTGCTTTAGGGTATCATTCGTTACTGTACTCGCAATAATTATTTTATCATTAATGATCGATTGAATAACTTATTGTTATGCCCATTCTGAACATTTAATATTTGATGATGGAATATTAGTATTGCCTCTGGAACACAAATGATATTCATATCCGCAGACTTGAGATTAAAACTCTCGTCGTGAGTCTTATTCGGGCAAGTTCGACTTTTTAAGAGGTTATAATCCGCTTTATAAATAATCGGCGTAACAAACAGCTTTTATGCATATTTGAATGGACGAGTAGATAACGTGTATAGTTTCACGCAAGCACTGAGCTTTATCACGCAATTCATTTTTCGTTCCCATCATTCTCATCTTACAAGCCAAACAAAATTCTCCAACCGATTCTAAGGAGTAAATAAATACAATAACAACTGTTGGGTTTTTATGTTCGGATTGGAGTCAAATTAACTTTCGGGTCGTTATTACAGAATGTTAATATACTTAATTATACTATTACTGTTACAAACGATTATTATCTCGCTTCTCTCTCTCTCACACACACACGCACACATTAGGTAACTTGGATTATTACGATTCTATTTCTTAAAATCCCCTGGCACCCTCATTTTTGTGCTTTAAAAGCATTCGTGCTCTCTCTTTCACACCCTTCCTCTATCTAACTCCCTGTCTCTCTCACATAGATGCTCATACACCATAATCGAGGTATTGGCAATCGCGTTGGCCTAGGTTTCGGTCGTGGTCATCCAAGTTCGTCACTTCCTTGCTCCTTTCCATGATGTTCAAGACACAATTCACCGTCGAGCTCGTTAACCGCGGCGTTTGGCCTTTGTTGAAGAACAACGGTCTTCTAAACTCGTCTGCCCGATCCTACAATTTTCTTGCATATTTCCGATGTTTTTGAGGTAGGACTTGGAGGGTCGTTGCCGTCTCACTTGCACGATATCTCCTACACAAGCAGAAGAAGAAACTTCGCAAGAATATTTTCTACATTCACGTTATTCTGCCGAAGCAAACGCGAGTTGCTGCTAATTCGCGAGCAGCCCGGCGACATCCGCGACAATTTTTGGTGGCGCGCGTATTGCGCGAAGGCCTCGTAGCGGAAAAATGAAAGAAGGCGTAAATCCTCGGAGGGCCCGACGCGTTCTGGCAACGAAATTTCCTTTATGCCCCCGAGGGCTTTAAGTATTTCACTCGCGAGAGAAAGCGTGAGTGGAAGAGAGAGAGAGAGCGAGAGAGAGAGAGGGAGTACACAGGCGCAGATTGGGGATGCGCGGGCCAGAAATCCGCAATCCGTTTCGATCACGCACGAACGATTTAGCTCCTTGCAATCCCAGCGCAAGGAAGATGAAAAACGAGGAACGGGAAAATATGCAAGCCCGCGGGAAAGAGACCGAGCAAGCCCGGTTGAAAGCACAAATACGCCCTTCGCGCATTTTTATGCGGCGACGTCGCCTCTAAGCAGCTTTCTTCGAGATTTTAAACCAAAACATCCCTCCCGGGGACCGGTCTGTATTTTTCGCCCCTTTTCCAACCCCGAGTACAGGGTTGCAACGTGCTAAACTATATTACAGTTTAAACATTCCGTCGAAAGATGTTATTTCTCGCCTCCCTTCGTTTGACTGTGAGGCACGTTTCAACCGCTAAACACATTGGAATTTAATCTTCGAAACGCAGAAAGCGCAACGTTAATTATTCCTCTTACTTTTCTGTCTTCCCACCGTGGATGCGCATATTTTTTGCTGAACTTTCATAATTGCGGCCCACGTAGAACTTCGTTTTTGCGCCATGGCGAAGCTCATGAGTATTCTTTTACAGTTAAAGAGGATTGCCGATGTAAACTGAATCCGTGTACGGAAGTAATGTAGAACTCTCGGCCTGCGAACATGATACTTTATACTTTCGCATCGTGTTCGTTTAAATGAAAGCTTCGTTCATTGGTGGTGGGCGCTTGCGTTCCCGTATAGCTCTAACGTATTTAATGGAAGAAAAATTGATTTAACACGATGCTATTAATATTTCCGATGTTCGTTTAGCCGCTGCATATCCAGGCTTGTATTCCGGCGGTTACGTGGCAGCAATGGCGGCCGCCGGCGTTTCGCTGCACGGACAGCCGGCTTTCTACCATGCGGCTCATCCTTATCAAATAAATCCGAACGCTGCGGCGGTGGGCCCCATGGCGAAGAGGAAACGCCGTCACAGAACGATATTCACCGAGGAACAATTGGAACAACTTGAAGCTACATTCGATAAGACCCACTATCCGGACGTGATCCTTAGGGAGCAGCTCGCGCAGCAGGTCGATCTCAAGGAGGAAAGGATCGAGGTAAGATTGGAGAACTGTAGAAGTAATAGAAGCTTTCTTCCCCTTTTCGTAACTTAAATATGATGGAGAGGTTTCTATAAAACTTTTAATTTCTGTAAACTATTTCGTACAAAGTGGGGCCAATAAAAGTTCTTCTTTGAACTGCTCTAAGAGAATTAGAACACAGAGGACGTTCAACGATGTTTCTAGTGAACATGAATACAAGTATTTAGTGATCTAGGGTAACATCTACTACAATGACTATCAAATTTCATTCACCAAGCAACGGAAAGTTGACAAATAGCTTAGCTTCTTTAGTCACCGAATTTCTTCAATGCTAAGCACTTAGCACCCGTTTTCGTTTCATCTTATTTTCTAAGTTTTGTTTATTTTTCTTATATTTATATACTCTAATGGAATGTTTAAATCGTATTATTGTTGCCGCCGTGTTATCCTCGGCTCTCGACGAAAACTTTTATGGACCGGACACTGTTTCGAGGATTTCACTGGCAAGCCCACAGAGGCTTCCCGACACCGGTAGCCTATCTAAACTGACAAATTACTCTCTCGAACCTGGAAGAATATTGGGTTCCCGGTTGACAAACATTGACCGTTCGGATCTCTCCCGTCCGCGTACAATTTGTACCGATGACGAGAGCCGGCCCGGTGTTTTGTCGCCTTGATGCGCGGAACGGGAACGACTAATAATTCTTTCATGTCGGCCATTAAAATTATTTGTGGTCGGTATTTACCGGGCATCGCTCGACTTGAGCCAACAAGTTGCATGCTAGATTGAAAGCTTTCGAGTTAATGTGTTTACTTCGACAATACATGCGTTGGGCCCGCACATGCATTAATCGCACACGTGCACGGCGACCGGCACGAATAGAATTCGTAGGGTATTTAGCGCTGTAAAGGCTCGTGCCGCGTATAATCATTAATTTGTCACGAGCTACTTCCCGTTTAATCGAGGCAATTCGATTTTTGCCCGACGCCATATTAATCCGCCGGATACACGTTCGAAACGTCAGATCAAAACGGTAAAATGGAATAACACGTTTATACGTAATGTTTGTTTGTGTATTTATTATTTCAATGCTAATTGGTGTGCATTAATCTATGGAAACTGACAAAAAGAATCGTGTGGAACGTTTTGTTCGGATTGGAGTGAAACGAAAGTCTCATTGAGCTGTGTTTACTGAAATCTTCTGTTAGACGATTACTAGAACAGTGGATTAATAGAACAATATAGAGTGGCAGGAAAGATTGTATACAGGGTGTTCATTTTAACTAGAACACCTAAATTATTTCTGCTATTATTGAAAGTAAGGGGGAGTGACTAAATGGTACATGGTTTTAAAATATATCTGATGGCGATAAAAAAAGTCCCGTGAAGGTCATCATATTTAGCCATTTTTTCTTATTTTCAATCATAGCGGAAATAATTTGCCAGAATCAAATTTAACGCCTTATATATTTAACATTATTTTGATTTGTAAATGATAACTCGAGCAGGTGTTGCCTTCGAAAGTGATACTGATCGTTCCGTGGATAGATTTCTCGAGGCTGTGGGAACGGTTTCAGTGACGGCGCTGTAAGGACGCTCGAATAGACTTAGGACGGCGTCATTGAGACTGGATTGCTGGAAAAATCCTTTTCTGACAGTGTCCTAGTCCCGTTTAAGGGGATTGCGGGGAGATTGATGCTCAGTATCAGTCTCCTGCTCCTTTTGGCTGCAGATGTTACCTTTGGGGATCGTGCACTCGCCGTGAATCCTTTCTAATTATTACACGGTGGTCTTACATGATGCTTGAGCAAAATTACTAAGCATTGTAACTATTATTAGAATGCTTCGGATTTTCGAGAATTTCGAAACATACAATATATTAAACTTTACAATTGTCATAATACGATTCTTATATCCATAAAATCATTCCCGAGCAACGATCCTGCGCAAACAGTTGATTTATCCAGCAGAAATTCTCGACGAACTCCGAAGAAGAAAAAAAGAAAAGAAGTTTCTATTTCCTTAACTCCGCTACAGTCCCCCACGTTTCGAATTTGAAAAATGAAGAACACCTTGTAACACCAAACGTTAGGCTTTCCCTAATACAATTCTCGTGCCCATAAAATTATTCTTAAACACTGAACCTGTGCAAATATCTTATTTATTCAGCACAAATTCCCGAGCAACTCCGAGGGGGGAAAGAATGAAAGAAGTTACTATTTCCGTTGTTGCAGCGCCGCGCGTTTCAAATCTCGATAAGGAGTTCCGTGTAATCGTAATCCCGAGGCAAACATTCCGGGGACGGAGGTAAAGAATCAGGGAATTCATATTGCGTACGCCCGTGGCGGCCAATTTGCCCAAACAATCCCGAAGTCATTCACACTTATCGCGGCGCGGCGGACCACCCGCGTGGTCGGCTCCGCGGCAAAAGGAAATCCCCTGGTCTCGAGAGTCTTTAAAGACTTTGAAACAACATATACCTGCCGTGCACCTGCCGCGGCGGGCAAGAGTTTCAGTGTTTGTACAGAATTAGTAGAAAGGCGACTTTTCAGATGGAGAAAGAGGAAAACGCGGGAAACAGAGTATTTAGAGGGTGGGACGGGGGAACGGTCCCGGGAGAGGGACGGACGGGCCTAAAGCACTCTATCTCGGTGTTTGGAAAGAAGCATGACGACTGTTTACACGCGCGACGGTCCCTCTATTCCCGTGATTGCATCAACAGAATGCAGAAACACGGGGACGACAGGTGCCGAGATGCGAAAGCTGATCGAACTGCGGAACTTTACGCAAAATGAACATTTTTTTAAGTAATTTGAAGAATGGCTTAACCTATTGACGCACGTTTCTTTTTATTAAGATCAGTCTTGCTAATGCTTTTCATTTAACTCCTTGGTGTAGTATTTACATGCGTTGCCACATAGGTTCGTGTAACGTTTCACTATTGACAATTTGGAAGAAACGCGAAAGAATTTATTATTCTACCACAAATTTACTTTGAAGACCATAGATTGGTAATAAAATAGATTTTTCCTTTGATTCGTGGACAATGAATAATGGTTTTTATTGAATTAATCTAGAAATCTTTGTTATGAGTCTCGTTATTGCAATTGTATTTTAACTGGAAAATGAATGTTGATATCAGAAGTAGATAGGAATGCATTGCTTGAATTTGATAGCGGTCGAAGTCGATAAATGTAGGTAACTCGAGAGACACGACACGATAACAGTCGAGGAACAATAAACTTTTTTAGTTCCCTATTTTTTTGTTCATCCTAAACTGTGAAACCTCTGAGGGACGAATAGAACGTGCTTCTTCTGGCAAACGTACATTTTTCTACGTTGGTTTACAGGAAATGGAGTCAGGAAACAATTTTGGTCTTTCCGTGAGAGATTTTATCAGGCTTAAAATTAAATAGAGACTTTACTACATTTTTTTCTACTACGTTTCGCAATGTACGAAACAATTCACGGTAAGTTGTTTTGAATTAAATTCATTGTCGGTTTGTCCCAGTGACGCGGTCGCCATGATAGATTAGAATTAATTGTGAACTATTGTGAACTAATAGCAAGGATCTTATGATATTAAAGAATAAGTTTCTAACTTTGTAGATAGGAAATGCATGAACGAATCGTAAAGTCCGACGAGAAAGGATTCTTAATTAATTAGACGGGGGATGAGCGGAATATCCGAAACGCCGAATGATCGACTGGAAGCAACAGAGATATTGATTGTCGGCGTTCGTTTCAATTGAATCGGACAAGCGTGAGGAACGAATGGTGATTTCGAATGTGGGATGAAGCCTTTTGATCTTCGCAGGCTCCCTTTCGCCTTGTTACGAGTCCTCGCGATGAATAACACAGGCAACGCGCAGGTAAAACGGGCTTATCAATTAACCGTTGCGCCTATCCCGATAGAAATTGAGGTCTCTCAACAATTCTGCGATTCAGTACCGAGAAACTCGTAGCCGGATCAACGGTGTGGTTCAACGAGAACCGTAATTAATTCGCTGTTATATTGATTATTACCAAGAACTCGAGATTTGCGATAAATAGAGAGTAATTGGAGCAGTTCCATGCGCTCGCGTTGTGACCAACTAAACGAGAACACGAATCACGATAGAAATAGGTTAATAAATACATCGATATACGTATCGCTAAATAATCTTTGAAAAACCGTATCTCTGAAGTTGAAGATTCTGTTCGTAACTCATATTTCTTTGAAACTTAAAGAATCTTTTCAAGAAAACTTCCCTTTTATAAAGATGTTAACAGAAAAAGTAGATCGAAACGGTGTAAGACTTCCATTTTCTTTTTGCGAGGAACTACGGGAGTTGCACGAACTTCATGAAAAAGCTACTTAATATTAGAACTACAAAGGAATTAAAATTACCCGTTCCAAAATTTGTATTTTGCAGTTATCGGAATTACGAGAATGCTTCTGTTACGAGGAATTCTAAAATGAACAAAATACAGAAACATTTCGAAGCTTAACCAATGTATCATTCTGACTCTTCCAAAGGACTCTAAATAAGAAATTCCAATTGGTACGTAGTGCTATCATTAAAATCGAGATACTCTCTGTTCCAGGTGTGGTTCAAGAACCGTCGCGCAAAATGGCGTAAACAGAAGCGGGAGGAGCAGGAGAATTTGCGGAAGCTTCAACTGGAGCAACGTCAGCGTCCCGACGACGGCCTGCCAGCGGCGGCCGTCAAAGTGGCGGATCACTTGCTGTTAACCAGACAGCAACAACAGCAACAGCAACAGCAGCAACAACAGCAGCAACCGGAACAGGACACCGACAGCTCGGACCTGGAAGTGGCGTAGTCGGAACGTAGACGTTAGATTCGTTTTTTCATTTAGAGTCCGGTGGATTGGTTATCCAGAAGGAAAGAACGGGAGGGGAACATGTAAATACGGAGTTAGGTTGTAAATACGTTTGTACATACAGCTTACGTTCGATGTGTATAATAGGCAGTGAAATAAATTATTGAAACAAAACAACGATTTTATTGATTCCCGCGGGAGTTGTTCATTAACCGGTATAATACACAGCCGAACAATTATCGAGGAATTATTTAATACGCTATGCACAGTACAATGTATAATATGTGCACATGTGTGAACAACTAACCGTCAGACGCGTAAATTTGGAAAAGGGAGAAAGCTGGAAGGAAATGTGTACCTATATGAAAATTACAGAAGATGTTATTGTATCGCAAAATCTCGTTTATTGGTATATTCATTAGTGTATGCGTATAATTTCTATACTGATAAAGAATAATAATTTATGGTCCTGCAAATATTTGACGAAAGAACCCGTCACCACTCTGCTACGACCGCCGTATGCACACCCGATGTAATCTCGTTACAGAATGGATCAGTGATTAAAATCCCTCGACGGACTCTGGCGTCGTTGTAGCTGAAGTTAGTTCTACGTACCTCGACGATTATATTATTAGTATTGTGCGATAGGGGTGAAGGAGCACCTGGCTCGCTCGGGGTAGCAGTAACTCATGGACACCGCAAGTTCGCCGAGTTCCGTGGAAGTTCCGGGTAAGTACATAAATCCCGAGGGCGACCTACGAACTAAGACGGTTCTTTGCGGTGCAAGTTTAATAGGTTCCGCGCCGTCGTCGCTGCACTGAGACCTAAAGACGATCGACTTAAACGCGGCTTCTTTTTACCTCCGCCCCGGGAAAGCTTTTTTTTTCTTTAATTATTCAAAGCCGCCAAATTCCGTGCACTGGTGCACCTACCCGCGGCTGTTTGCTCGGCGGAGCTAGGCGGTGGACACGGTGTGCAGCCACACGGTGTTCGGTTCTCCACGCTGGCAAGAAGCTTGAACCCGTCTCTTCTACAGGATCTTTTGTTTAATTTCATTTTACAGTTAAGTAGAAATTATTTTAATGATAAGATAAAGTCGGAGGATTCGTATCTATTGTCTACGATTGTATGTGATTGGGAGCATTCCTTTTAGACGTTAAGTGTTAGAAGTTTTAACACTAGATTCACTGACATTTACTGTACAGTTTGTTCTATTGTTCTTAGAAACATTGTTATCGATTCATTTAGATTTTAGAAATTAGAGGTTTAAGAGTAGACAATTAGGATACATATTTGCATCACTGCGTTAATAAAAATCGACCCAAACATTTACCAAATAATGCTTATAAAATTCAATATGAGCGAAACTGACTCGTTCCGTAAATCCAGTGTTAATAACTCGGTAAGGTCTAGTAAACAAAAGAATTTTGGTAAATAGAAAGTTATTATTCCGTTAAAACTCTATAGAATTTTAAAGAACTTCTATCGAATGTTTCAAAATGAAATATTCAGAATCTGCTGATTAGTACTCTTTGACTTTGCAGTTTCAGAATATTTTGGGTAGAATAAATGCATAGAAATGAGGCTTGAAGAATCTCACGAGTTCGAATATTTATAATTCTTTTATACACATATACAGGACCAAAAGTAGAAGAAAAATCAGCGATGGCTTCAGTCAGCGCCTTTACAGCACATTTTATCGATAGTCTTGGAAGTTTCCTGCCTCCTGCCCTTCCATTTTCTCATCTGTTTCTTCTTCTCCTCGTCGAATGGGCACTCGATCTTGGTCAACCTCTTGTCCCTCCTCTTCTCAGCCCTTCCGATCGGAAGGGCGGCTAACCCGACGTCCATGACCTTGAGAATCTCAATGGGATTCAGGGCGAACTGGCTGCACTCCGGTGAGCCAACAGTTAGTACCAAGATCGTGATGAATTTATAAAAATATGTAGCTCGCAGAAGGTACACTGCACCCTCCCCATAAGTGAACAATGGCGGACCAACGGAGTTCACGTCGCAGACGTAATAAGCACCGCAGAACTTGAAGATCCCCAGGCAAGAACTCTCGCAGGTGAGGATACCGAACTGATACTTAAGGAACATCTGTTCCAAACACTGCCACAGATACCTGGCAGACTTCGAGTAAAGCCTGCCACAAATAGCTGGCAACACTTTTGCTTCGAACATCGTTTCCCCGATTTTAAAATGGCTCATCAGGTACCTGTTCCAGCAGTTCACGTGACTGTACTCGGTCTTGGTCGCCTTGAACTCTGCCTCTAACTTGCTGTGCGTGTAGTATCTGTGATAAACCAATGGAAAAGGGTGAGATGATTTTCTCCTGAAAATTTAATGACAACTGCATTTGACAATCTTTTGCCAGCTATCGTTATTAGTTTGATCCAATAAATATTTTCAGAAACCAGTTTTGACCAATACGAAGGTATCTCATAGAAGTTAAGCATATTAACAGCACTCGACTATCTTGATTACATGTATCCACGGTCACTCAACTTTACAACATATCTTAACTATCTATTTAACTATTACCTTACACCAGCACTCAAACATCAACTTAACCTTGCCGTACACTGACGAGTGAGACTCGCGACGAAGATTTCTAGATTAATTTAACGACAATCACTGTTGTTCATTACCCATGGATCAAAGCAAACAACTATTTTCTATTATCAATGTACTCGAATGAAATTTTCACTTGAAGTAGAATGGACAATTTTGTTGCATTTCTTCCAAATTCTCGATAGTAAAATATTAACCGAGCTTAGTAGTGAAAGTAAATAGTACGCCAAGGGGTTAACAATCATCCTCACAAAATTACAAGTTCAATTTTCCCACTTTACCAGCTCCACCCTTTTCACCTGCCACATACCTGTCCCCGCACATCACGATTACGTCCAGGGTCTTCGAGCTCCAGTACTCAGGCGCCATGATCCTCGTCATCCCAGCGCACACCACGTAACAAGCGTACGTCTGCATGCCCCGGTTCTCTCTGTCGAACATGCCGTCCGTGATGTGCAGCTCGCCCCAAAGCGAGAACAGTTTGTTGGACTCCTCGACGACGTACTGGTGCCAGCGCATCTTGCCACCGGTAGCCTCTTTGCTACCCTTCTTCTTCTGGGCAAGCGGCGTACACTTGGCCCAGGTGATCTTGTACAGTTTCAGCCAGGTCGGTTTCTCGATCGCGTCCCTCAGATCGCCCTCTTCTTGCTCGATCGTGCACGGATCCCTAACGTCCAGAGGATCGAATGGACAATCGTCTATCGTCTTCCTCTTCACGAGTCTTTGGGCTGGCTTCGGCGCCGTCCGCTGAAGCAGCTTCAGATTGTGGATCTGGCAACAATGATGAGTCACGTGGTATATCTGGACAGTGAAATTTTCTTCCTCCCAAGGTTCCTCTTCCGGCTGAGCTACAACCGGAGCGTCTTCTCCTAGCAGGATTGACTCTGGCTGGGACTCTTCTCCTCGAGGCTTCTGTATAGACGATGTCGGAACGACATGGACGTACGCTCTCAACATTAGTATCATTAAATGTCTTCTTAAAGATTCTTTCGAGCAGAACTTTAGGATACAGGCGAACCCGTTGTCGTCCCAGAAACCGAACTCGTCGCAGCGGTAAGGGTTATACAAGTACCAGAAAAGATTGTCCTTCCAGAAAGCTAGGCAGAATCGGGTGGTGCGGAATATGCAATTTCGATAGCGGACTTTTAGCTTGTCGAACCAATCCTCGATCTTCTTGATCCCCTCGTGGACCGAGGACTTTTGATCATCGGTGATTTTTTCGGAGCCGAGCTCTACTTGGACGTTCATCAGCTCTTTGCGCTCGAGTTTCAGTTTGCGTTTTAAGTTTGGCTCTTCGTAGTCCCAGGGAATGGTGGTTATCACGGGCACGTCGTTCAGCTCCCGGAGCAACTCGACTTCGATGCTGTATTTGTAATTGTACACGACGATGTCGTCCAATCGTTGCTTCTCCTTCACGTTGATCATGCCCATGTGGGTGTATAGCATCCACGCGTGGTCGTAGATGTAATCGATGTTCGCGCCCCATGCGTACTTGTATCTTGTAATGATACATATTGATGAGAATTTGAGAATGATTCTCGTGCAATGGAAATTAGAGGGATAAATCGAGGATAATAAAGGAGAATGGAAATTCTTTTCTAATTTCTTGAAACAGACAGTGACTCGAACAATTTTGTATTTGAATTCGATTAAAATGTCAGAAGTTTGGTTGTTTTGGGGTTTTTAACCCTTGATTCCGCCTTGATTGATTGATGTATCAATCTCCCGCATTGCAATGTCGGCTCACGGTGACGATTTTAAATTGAATTTAATGAACACGAATATTATTCAATTGACGTCTATTGAAGCCGAATATTATTTTACGGTTATGAATATTTAAATTTTAAGGTAACTGTATATCCATAGTGAGCATGGATACATGAGCATTCGTTTCCCCGCTACGAAGTGACTAAAAATAAAATAATCCCGAGCAGTTCAGTCACAGAATCAATCGTAAAACATAAAAAACAATAATCTAATTATTTAAATTCGATCATCATTTGTCCGTGCATCTTTATGGAAAAACAAATTCTTTGGGATGAATTTACAGTATACCAATGCAACCAGATAATTTCGTCGCATTTTTAAACAAAGTTCAACAGAAAGCGTTATTAGATTCAGTGTCCCCTAGTTTATCTCTTTGTAACGTGTACCGTTAACCAAATATATGTCACATTTATTTAACTAAATGTTTCTAAAATGTATTATTCGATCTTCACGTTGAAACACAAAACAAGACTTTCCGGTCAACCTGTTACAACAATAAACGAATAATAACCTTAATTGTGTTTTAGCCAGAAGCGCAACGATGGCCTGGTAGAAGCAGAACTTCCACGTTTTCCGACGCTGTCGGAAGAGTCCCAGCTCCGGCAAATGCATCCCTTTCAAGCCGCGTATACACACGTCCGCATAAATTCTGGTTCCCT